ACCATCTTGTAGAAGAAGCAACTAAAGTTCAGAGACCAAGGTCAGTCAAGATCAATAGCTAATAAGCAACAAACCCAGGACTCTAAGTTCACTTTATCTGATGGCTTCAAAACAATGCTATTTCGACTACATCACACTATCTCCTTTATACATAGAAAACAAATGTTGATTATATGCTGTTATACCGAAACGTTTCTTTACTAATACGTAATACTAACGACTTTTAATAGTACTCAAAGCTATGCCTCTGTGGCTGGGCTTCTCCATATCCTGCCTTTAACCATAGGTAAGTATCAAAGCAAATTATTTCCATGAAGGAAGAGAGATCTGTCTCGAGGCGAGATCAGGACTACATCCGTGCTAATTCCTAGCCAGGGTCTCAATTATGAAAACCATTGGCCGATGAGGAGATGCCCTTTGTCAGTAAAAGCCATGCCTTGTGGCCCTAAACCCCACATACCGCACCAGGCCGCCCACGATGCCTACAGCCACAGTCACCCCTCACAGGAGGAAGTTCTGAGCAGAAGAGATAGGCGTCCTCACCAATTTCCTCTGGAGACACCAAGAGCCCAAAGAAGACAACGACTCCACCAGCAAACTGCACAGACGCTGTCACCAGGAAGGCATACTGGAAGAGATACAGAAGGCGCTGCTTACAAATCCATAGGAATCCGCCTCAGGCGGCTGCTTTACAAGCAGAGGGGCAGGGGCGGGGAGAGGAGGGGAGAGGAGGGGTGGGCAGGTGGCACTCCTCCCCTGACTAACACCTAAGCCCCCTAAAGGCGGAGACTTCTGTTTTGGTGGGTATTCTCCAGGGCCTAGGGTGCATGTTGTCGTTGCTGGGTGTCACTGAGTCGATTCTGACTCGTAACGACCCTATGGAACAGAGCAGAACTTCCCCATAGGGTTTCCAAGGCTGTAATCTTTATGGGAGCAGATCGCCAGGTCTTTTCTCCCATGGAGCTGCTGTGTGGGTTCGAAATGCCAGCCTTTCGATTAGCAGCCGAGCATTTAAACGTGCCACCAGGGTTCCTAGGGGTGTGTACCAACAAACCCTACTGCCATCGAGTCAATCCTGACTCGTAGTGACCCTACAGGACATAGCAGAACTGCCCCATAGGGTTTCCAAGGCTATAATCTTTACTAAAGCAGACTGCCACATCTTTCTCCCGAGGAGCGGCTGGGGGGTTCAAACTGCTGACCCTTTAGTTAGCGGCCAAGCACTTCAGCATTGTGCCACCGGGGCTCCAGGGGTATATAGAGGGGCTTAATCAATATTTACTGAAGAAAGTAAAAAGCTATGAGTGAAGCTGAATATTGTTACATATGTTTAAAAGCCATTTCTATTTCCTTTCATGAGTCATACGTTCAAATGTTACTTCTCTTTCCGTGTGTTGGTCTTTTTCTCATCAATTGGTGGGTGTCTTTATGCATGAAGGAGATCAGCCCGGAATACTTTTAAT